AGAAAACTTTGGGATCGCTGTTGGAGCTGAACAAACCCACCAAGTCTGACTTGTGTTGTTGAAACTCGAGGTATTTGTTGTTGAAAGTGGAGAATCACTGAAAACACCGAAACTTTTGCTGTGGTTTTTGTACTCAGGAGAGATGGAGGAATCACCGGGGTTTTCCTGGATTTCTGCAGAAGGTTCTGGAGAGGATTTGGGGAGTGGGGAGGGGTCAGCCCTGCCTTTAGCTGGCCTGGATTTGGTGCTGAAGGGTTGGGAAGCTGAGGGAGCTGCCACAGGGATGTCGTTCCACCAGGAGCGTGGGCATCATGGAATCCACATGTTGTTTATGCTGATTTTCATCTAAAATCCTAAAAACCTGCTTTGTCCCACCAGGAGCATGGGCATCATGGAATCCAAATGTTGCCTATGCTGATTTTCATCTAAAATCCTAAAAACCCTCCTTGTCCCACCAGGACCATGGCCACCATAGCAATCAAACCTATGCTGATTTTCATCTAAAATCCTAAAAACCTTGTCCTACCAGGAGCATGGCCACTATAGGAATCAAACCTTGCCTATGCTGATTTTCATCTAAAATCCTAAAAAACTTGTTCCACCAGGAGCATGGCCACCATAGGAATCAAACCTATGCTGATTTTCATCTAAAATCCTAAAAATCTTTCCCAGCCCTCCCAGCTCTGCTGAAATCCAGGGTTGGGAAGCTCTGCTGGAAGCAGCAGCCCCTGGAATGCTGCAGCAGTGYTCAAATTCCCATTTGAGGAGTTCATTCTCTGCCATTCCTGGTGTACAGGACACCGGGCAGATCCCCCTGTGCAGGACAAGGATTGGACAGGGAGCGTTTGGATTGCTGCTGCCTGGGACAGCCCTTCCCCATTTCTGGGGTTTCCAGGGAAACTGAGCAGATTTTAAACAGAAAATTTGATTTTGGGGAAAAACATGAGGGGGAAAAGCAAAAGGGTGAGGGAGGAGGTCAGGGTTTGTCCCCAGCTGAACTTGGGGTTTGTTTCCAGCTAAGCTCAAGGTTTGGTACCAGCTAAGCTCAGGATTTTCTCCCAGGTGAGCTCAGGATTTTCTCCCAGGTGAACTCCAGGTTTTCTCCTGGTGCTTTCGGGATATTTTCCCGGGTGAGCTTGGGGTTTTCTCCGGGTGAACTCAGGGTTTTCTCCCATGTGATCTCGGGATTTTCTTTCAGGTGAACTCCAGGTTTTCTCCAGGTAAACTCGGGGTTTATTCTCTGGTGAGCTCAGGGTTTTCTCCAGGTTTTCTCCAGGTGAACTCCAGGTTTTTTCCAGGTGATCTCGGGCTGTGTTGGGATGGAGGAAAGGAAGGAGAGGCTCAGCCATCGCTCGTGGCACAATATCCCCAAGCAGAGCTGATTCACGCCGGGCAATGCCGGGGCTGAGGGCAGACACTTCCAAACCCATCCATTATGCAAATTCCGCCTCATTTCCTTGCCCARTTCCAGCATTCAAACGCCTCCGGCATGTGCTGCCTACTCTTATTTCTTTCCCGAGGAAAGCTCCCCCTCTCCTCCTCATCCCCGAATTCCCCGCATTTTGGGGCTGCTGGATGGGATTTGGGGACGCAGGGCTGTGGGGGATTGATCCTGATCAGGAAAGAAAAGGAAAAATCTTCTTGGGAAAGAAAAAGAAATTTTCTTCTGCACCTGGGGAAGGAGTTTGATACATAATTTTTTTTTTTTGAGGGAATTGTTGGGTTTTTAGGAGGAATTTTTTGTTTGTTGGTTTTGTGGTTTGGCAGCCCTTCCCCATTAAAGCTGCTTCTTTTGGGGTTGCTGGTTTGGTGTTTACCCCTTTCTCTTTAGGGGTTGCTCAGGTGTTTTGGGGTTTATTTTCTTTGCTTAGCTGTTTTTTTGGGGGCGTTTCTGTGTGTTTTTCCTCCAGGATGAGGCCATAGCTCACCGCAGACCCCCTGAGCCGCATTCCTGCCCCATCCCTGCCCCTCGCAGAACCCACARCAACGCAGCCCCACGGGGCAGAGCTGTTCGGGGAGGCTCCTCGGGCACGGCAGCCGCTGTCAATATTTTTGTTTTGCCGGCTGGTTCCTCCCCCGCTGCCCGGGCTGCTCTCCAAGGTGTCCGGAGCGCCCCGTGGCCGCGGCAGATCCGAGCGGGGCGGGGTGCGGAGCGCTCTGTAATTGAGCATCAAAGCTGCTCCTTCTGCTCCCCATCCGCACAGCAGCTGCTCCCTGCCCAGGACGCGTGCACGGGTGAGTTCTGCTTTTCAAACCCCGATTTTTCATGGGAAAAACCTTTTGTCAAAGTCCCCTGCTGCTGCATGGGATGGGGAGAGGCTCAGGTGTAATGGGACTGAATAAAAACTGCGTGTGATGGGCAGAAATGGATAAGGATATTGCTAAAAGGGATTAATAATATTTCTGTCTGCAGGAGCTTTRTTTTATCTGACCTGTCAGGAAGAGGTGGGGAAACTATGGAAGCAAAATGTCTCTAAAAAGCTTTGTGGCTTTTTAGGCACATGTAGAAAAGTGGCTTTTTTAGGATAAAATCCTACTCTATACAGATCTATGGGGTTACTTGTATTTAATTTCTAAGGAACTGGTTTCCTTATTCTTATTAAAAGAATGATAATRTTCCCCTAGTTCCTTGTAATATTTTCTTGTTATGTGGCTATTTCCATGGATCTTGACACTACCAGACTTACTCACTTTCCAATTAAAAAGTGGGAATCAGAGCTTTTAGGATTCTCATCTTATTCACCAAAGGAGAGCAAGTGCCAATAACTGAAATAATCCCGTTTTCCCTTTTCCTCTGCAATTCTGTGTCCTGCTGATGACTTAATGTAACACTCAGCAATTATTAGCATTTATTTGAACCCAGTTCTTTAAAAGAAATGTGTTTATTATTGATGATTTTAAATTTKCATGTATTATAGATATTAYTATAGATATTATTATATATRTTAKTATAGATATTATTATAGATATTATTATAGACGTTGTTATTAATAATAGTAGTTAATTCTGGCAACAGGTGAATTCAATCCCTGCTGCAGAAAAAGCTGGATAATCTGGATATAGTTTCCTTTTACTGGAATTCTGTATGTGTGGAGTTTTCCATGCTCCCAGTTTGCACCTGGGACTTCCAGCAGCAGCTGGAGACACAAAATCCAAAATCCAGCCTKCAGTGGCAGAAACCAGCCTTGTGGCAAAATTCTGTGGCAAAATCCACAGGTGGGAAAGAGAGAGGATTTAAAGGGATTTTTGATTAAGCTGCTCCAGCAGAGCCTTAAATAACCCAGTGAGAGGTGAAATTCTGGAAGGGTTTGGCCTGGGGAGTGGAATTGCCACAATCCCTGGATAAAACCTGAGCTCCCATGGAGCCTCCTTGGTGAGCAGTGATGCAATGTGTGGCTCCATTTCCATCATTCCCATCTTTAGATCTTCCAAGGATGTTCCTTGTGAGTAGTGGTGGAAAAACTAATCCCATTTCCACAATTCCCATCCTTAGATCTCTCAAAGTTCTTCCCTGGTGAGCAGTGGTGCAGGAAGTGGTCCTGTTTCCATCACTGCCCATTCTTGAACTCCCATGGAGCCTCCTTGGTGAGCAGTGGTGCAAAGTGTGGCTCCATTTCCATAATTTCCATCCTTAGATCTTTCAAAGATCTTCCTTGGTGAGCAGTGGTGCAGTGGTGCAAAAAGTGATCCCATTTCCATCATTCCCACCCTTAGATCTCTCAAAGTTCTTCCTTGGTGAGCATTGGTGCAATGTGTGGTCCCATTTCCATCATTCCCATCCTCAGATTGCTCAAAGATCCTCCTTGGGGAGCAGTGGTGCACAAAGTGATCCCATTTCCATCATTCCCATCCTCAGATCCTCCTTGGTGAGCAGTGGTGCACAAAGTGATCCCATTTCCATCATTCTAATCCTTAGATCCTCCTTGGTGAGCAGTGATGCAATATATGGTCCCATTTCCATAATTTCCCATTTTTTCCCCTCCAGGAAGGCTTTGGGCTGCTGGGATGGACGTGAAGCGCGCCTGGCGCTCTCTGTACTGGCTCTTCTGCCAGTTTGAGCTGATCACCTGCAGTTACCTGATGGARCCCTGGGAGAAGGTTCTCTTTTACTCCTTCAACCTGGCCGTGCTGGGGCTGCTGTTTTACACTGCCTATGCCTGCCTGGCTGCCCAGTTGGGCTCAGTTTTCCAGCTGCTGGGAAGCTTCCTGGGCAACCCGCGGCACAACGCCCTCGCCGTGGTGAAATAAAACCATTTTGGGACCACATCATTTCCCTCACATCCCGATTTCATCCCATAGCAGGCACAAATGCTGCTCTGCTCTCTCCTCGTGATCTTCTCTGACAGCGATTTTGCCAAAAAAACCCCTCCAATCAATCCCTGTTTGCTTCTTTGAGAGCTTCCGATTTTAACAACTCACTGGAATTATAGAGGTGGGATTGGGACAGGAACAACCCCCCTGAAGATTTTGTTATTCCAGGGAAAGCTGGAAATTGGAAAGTTTTCATCTGGAGAGATGATTGCATGGATTTGTTCTTGTCTGCCSGAAGAAATGTGCACACAAAACCCCTGGACAAGTGGGGGCTGCTTCCCTTGRCTTGCTGTGGTTTTATGGAATGATTTCAATATTTACTTATTCTCCTTGATTATTTTATACATTGAATCACTCTACTGCTTTGCTGTCATTAAGCAAATAATGCAGTTGATTCATTAAAAATGTGAGGAGGTGCTGCTGTGAAAAATGATAGTGAAATTCTCAGATCCTGTAACTTAATAAAAACAGATAATTTTTTATTTACTTTTAGAAGATGAGTAAATCGTTTGTTATCATATAGGGAACTATAGATTCACTTGTGGTAGGGTTTCAGCTGAAAATAAAGCCCCTAAAAATTGTAAAAATACAACGTCTCCTTTTTTTCCCAACCCTTTATTCCCTACCTTTCACCTTTTACACTCTCAGTGTTGAGCAGTCTGAAACATGAACCCCTGAGACTGTAAACACTGAGCTGGATTTGGCTCCAACTGGTTCTGTTCCAAATTCCTCATTTTTTTAGCTGTAAAAACACAAGATTCCTGTGCTGCCAGCTTCCTGCACGGGCTGGGATGGGCTTGGCAGTGAGAGTTGGGGTTTGCAATCACCCTGGCAGATCAGGGAGTAGAGCAGGGGAGATAAATCCACATTTCCCACCCACGCTGAGCTGAACTTTGTGACTTTTCCCGGTGCTCCTGGGATGTTCTCTCCTCCCTGAGAATGGGAGGATGTTGGAGGTGCCAATCCAGCGACTCAGGGAATGAGGTTTGGGCAGAGGAGGCACAAACAAAGTGAAGAGGTTCATGATGTCATTGTCACCTCAGCAGGAGATGCAGCTGCTGCCCCAGTTCATAATTGGGGGGAAATAGAGACAGAGATGGAAATAATTTCACTGGGAAAATCAGGGCAGCTGCACTTAAACTCAACTCTTTTAACAGTGCCCAAGTACCTCTAAGCTTGTAAAAAAAYCTATTTAATGCTTTCAGATTTGTATCCAATTGGATGTCTCATGAAAGTAATAGAAGAGTTAAAGTAGTAATTAGAGTCATTTGGTTTTGTACTGAGYCTGTATATTATATTTACTGATAATTATCAATATAATTGGTATTTACTGATGTTTCGGGACAGGAAAAGGAACGCAGTACTTCAGTTCTGCCAATCATTTAAGCAGACGGATATTTTTACAGCCTGGCAGTCTCTAATGCAGACAAATAAAGGCAGCACTTTGCATTGCAGGTGCAAAATATCTATTTCTCAAGAATATAAAACCACCTGTTTCTCAAGAATACATAAATATCCGTTTCTCAAGAATACATRAATACATATTTCTCAATAATATATAAATATCTGTTTCTCAAGATGTGCCCAGGGCAGGAGCAGGTCACGGTCAGTGACAGCAGAGGACTCCACAGGTACATCCAGAGCRTTTCTGGACATTCAGGGATCCCACACCAGGCTGGAGGAGCAGGAACTTTCCCCTGGGCCTGTTGGGGTTTCTTGCTGCCCTTCCCCACGTGGTGTTTGGGGTTGCCTTCAGTGCTTCTTGTGCAACAGCTGGGATGGGATTGTGCYTGGGGAGCTGCTCTGCTGAGATCCTGATCCTGAGCCAGGAAAACACCAAAATCCAGCAGAGGGAATGAGGGGCCAGGWGGCAGCTGGACCTCCCCAGAATTCCTGATTCCTTTTCTCATCACACCCTTTCCCTGCCTGTCACAGACTCCAGGATTTCAGGGATTATATCCAAATTCCAGTTGCCATTTCAGCTCCCAGCACCGGCCTGCCTGGGCAGCTCCTGCTGGAGGTGCCAGGAGCTCCAGGRGCTCCACATTTGTCACGTCAGGCTCAGCAGGGAATGGGATCAGGAGAGGGTTAGGATGGAAATCAGGGAAAGGTTCTTACCCCAGAGAGCTCCCCAGGGAACRGGCACAGCCCCRARGCTGCCAGAGCTCCAGGAGTGTTYGGACAGCRCTGCCAGGGATGCACAGGGGGGCATTGCTGGGGTGGAACAGCCTCTTCCCACATTTCTCCACATTTTTCCAACCAGCAAAGTTTGTCCCAGCTCCACAGTCTGCACAACATCTAGTTTTTCATACCTGGTGCTAAATGTTCCAAACCTAAATGAATGAATGCATGGCTGAAGCAAGAAGTGTTTCAAGAGGAATAGGAACTGGAATATCCCCTGCACACCCTTCCTGAGGACACCAAGCTCAGCTCTGCCTGTCCAGGGGAAGTTTCTGTCCTGTGGTGCTGAAAAGGAATGTAAGGATGGCACTGAGCACCATTCAGACCCCTGACCTTTGGCAAGGAAATATTTAAATGGCACAGCTTCACCCACGCTGGTTCAGCGAGAGTGGAAACGAAAGAACAAAACAAGAGACAGCTGCTGAAATCCAACTGCTCGTGCTGCTCCCCAGGAACTCTTTGATYTCTGCAGGCAGAACACATCCTGGTGGAGTCCCAGCATCCTCACTGCCAGGGATTAGGATTGCAGGATTTCTCCAGTTTATCCCCTGTTAATCTGTGTTTTATCAAACCCGAGAGTTTACATTTCCTAAATCACCAAAGATGATTCTGTTCACGTGGAATTTTCCTCCCTGTGCTGCTGCTGACTTGGGCAGTTTTTAGAGCTTAGGAGAAGTTCTTACTCCTGTTACTGTCATTGGTTTGCACTACACCATCTGTCCTGTGCTTTCTTTCCAGCCACGTGTAATTGGAGTTCTTATCTTGGCTGTTCATTAGCTGACCTGAAAATCCTGCTTCCAAAACAGCCCTGTCAGCACCTCAGGGCCCCTGCAGCCCACAGGACCTTCCCACCTTGCAGAGATGGGGCTGGAGCAGGGCTGACTTTACAGATCTTGGTTTCTGCAGAGCTGACCTGAAATCACTCCGTGCTGCTTGGYTGGAAGTTTCTGCTGTGCTTTCCTGCTCAGCTGAAACTGCTTCATGCACCGCTTGAGTTCCAGTTTCCCTCTCACAGGAAACTCCTCCTTCCTCTGCTGCTGCCCTTTCCAGCACAGAGTGGAGATATTCTATAAAATAGGGGTTACTCAGCTATTTTTCTAGGTGTTTTTTACAGGGATGAATAGATTTGGAAGGTGGATGTTCCCTGAGGAGGCCAAGGCTCTTCCCTCTGCCCTTTTCCTCCTCCTCCTACCCGAGCTCCTCTCGGGGTGTGTCACTCTGGGGCTTCTGAGCCTTCAATTATTGTTTGATTTCCAACCCCTTTGCAAACCCCACGGGTGAGCTGTGATCCACTGTGATCCACCCCAGGGAGCAGCTGCAGCATCCAGCTAAAAACAAAGCCGTGCTGGCTTTGGATCCAAAGGAAGTGCAAGCAACTGTTTCAAAATTATTGTTWAAAAATATATTCTAAAGCTACATTAAGAGAATTTGGGTTTGAGATTGAATAATCTGGGATCCTGTGAGTGTCTTGGGAATTTCCTGGAGCAAAAGGGGATCAGGGACCTTGTGGCTCTGCACAACTCCCTGACAGGAGGGGACAGCCAGAGGGGTYGGGCTCTGCTCCCAGGGGAGGTTTGGGTTGGATATTGGGGAAATTTCCCCATGGAAAGGGGGTCAGGCCTTGGCAGGGGCTGCCCAGGGAGRKTTGGAGTGCCCATCCCTGGAGGTGGCACTCAGAGCTCTGGGCTGGGTTCAAGGTGGGGAACAGGCCCAGGTTGGATCTGATGATYMTGGAGGGCTTTCCCAACCTCAGGAATTCTGGGATTTACACATCACGGAGGTTTCTCACTGCACCCCACCAATGGAACACCCCTGCAAGCTTTATGTTCATCTGACAGAAGTGATTGGAAAAAGCCAAATCCAGCTGGGAGAAAACCTGGAGGAGCTGTGAATGCCCAAACTTCACCAAGCATTTCACCTCAGGCTGACCTCGTTAGAGAGTGAGAATTCCAATTCCAATTCCAATTCCAATTTCAATTCCAATCCCATTATTTTCACTGACATCATTGACCTTTTAAGGACAAGTCTAAGCCAAGCCCAGGACTCGAAAGGACTCCAAGGGTTTTCTCTCCCCTGCATTCCTGCTGGATGAACCACGCCAAGCTCTCACCCATTTTGCATAAATCCCTTGCAGCAGAGCTATGGGGTCAAAATTACAGCCTTTCCATCTCAGCCCTGCCCTACAAAATTCAGGAATTCAGGAAGAGCTCCCAGGSGTTAATCACCACCCTTGGAGCACAAGGTGCCATCAGGGTATGCAAACACCAAATATTTCACAGCTTCACAGGTTTCCTTCCATCTTACAAAACCTTTCACAGGTGAGTTTAAAATTCTTTCAAGACTTTTCAGTCCCTGTTGGGGATCTGTGCCACCCAAAATGGTTTCACTTTAGAAAGCTGAATATTTAAATTGCACAAAATCCCTTCAATTCATTGCTTTGGCATCAAGCTTTGGGTTTTGTTGTGGAACAGAAACTCTGGCAAGTTTTAAAATTCATTTCCTCTTTCTGATATGGCTTAACCAAGTTCCCATCCTAAGTTTGGGGGGAAATACAGACTCTGACAGCAAAAGATTCTCTATTCCAAGCTGATGTTCTGGAAAGAACTCCAGGAAACATTCCCAAATCCCTCTGGACCCACCACAGGAACCTCACTCCTACATTTCCCTGCTCTGGGAGATGCAGATGAAATAAATGGCCTTGAGTAGAGAGAAATCTGCAGGAGGAGCAGTTTGTTTGCATTAAATCCTTTAACACCAAATTCAAAGCAGTTTTTGCCTTATTTTTCCTTAGCCTGGCATTAACTTGAATATTAAGAATTGAATATTAAATTTAAATATTATGGGCACAAAGAGTTTTTCCCGAGTTTTCAGCCACCTTTTTCTTGGAGAGGTGACATTCTTGGGTCTGTGCAGGAACAGTGACATCAGGTGGCCTCTCACATTCAGCACAACTTTCATTACTCCTCTTTCACCTGACTCCAACAGGGAATTCATTATTTTGTCCTTTCTGGGCTTGCAGAGTGCAACTGGATTTTAAAGTCAATTAAAAAATGATGGAATGAAATATCTGTGGAGGTTTTTAATAGTTTGCAGCTTATTTATTAATTAATTRTTATGCATATTGCTTTTAATCCACTGGTACAGGGATGGGATACAGTAAAATATCCAACACATTTCAGAGGATTTTCCAGTCTTTCCAGGGAAGTTTTTTGTGTACAAAGGAACAGAAATTACAGTCTTGAGCTTCCTCAAAATATGAATATGTGGAATAATTCATCAATATCATAAAAGGCTTCAAACCTTTGTGCCAAAAAAAAAAAAAAATGGGGAAAACCTTCCCTGTGTAAGAAATTAAAGCTGTAACAGTAGGTAGGGACTCTACCTAAAAATCCAGGAAACTGGAATAAAATCTT